CCCCCCCGCCCGTCGACTGCCTCTCAGGCAGGAAGGGAGAGGGAAGAACAAACACCAGCCGGACGGGAGATCACCCTCCGCCGGTGGCAAAAGTGATCACCCCCTATGCTTCGGCCTGTCCGCCCTTCACATCTGACGATTGAAACCACGGTAGGTCCCGGGGCCAGCCGACCCGGGCCCGAGCCCGGCGCCGGGAAAACGGCCCATGGGCGCCATGCCGGGACCGGGGGTCGGCGACGGGCCACCGGCCTCCGGCTGGCGGGCAGCGCCCATCGGCCCGTGCATGGCCCAAGACCCCTCGCGCTGAGCCCGGCGCTCGGTGCTTAGAATGCCGCGCAGCTGGGCCTCCGGATTACCCGCGCCGGAGCTGTCCCTGGCGGAGAAGGCCACCGGCAGGTGTCCGGAAGCTGGCCAACGGCGGATGACCTCACCACACCACATCTTCATGAGGCCGGCATGTGCGCGGCGCCAGTTGCCGGCCTCGGCCACCGGGTGGCCGCGGTGCGTCGGGTCCGGCGATGCCATGTTCGGCTGCGTCGACAAGCTGTGCAGCAGTGGCGAGTGGACGCTCAGGGTGCCGCGCTTGGACTGCGTGCGATATGCGGGGTTTCCCATGAAGGAGGCACACCGGGCGATGGGAGGGGAGAAGAAAGCCGGGGGGGTTAGAGAAGTGGAAGAAAAGGAAACTCGCTGACAACCCATGCGGCAAACACGTACCCGGTAAACGGCCAGCACCGCGTCAAGCAACAAACGCTCGGCCGTGTAAATGGGGGTCGACGCGCGGTCCGGGCGCGGGACCGCTGCCGGGATTTCGCCCAGCACCATGGGGAAGGCATGTGGGTTACCCTCGGCCTCGACACCGGTCGACAGGCGGAAGGCCGCTGCCTCCGGGCCCTCCGGATCGAATGCCGCCTCGGAGGCATACCGCACCACCACATTCGGCATCGACAAAGACATCGGCCCGACGGTTGGGTGGCCTGGAAACCCAATGTCAGACACATGCGCAGGCAGCCACAGCCAGGCAAGAGAGACGGGAGGCAGGGAAGGGGGAAGAAAAAAAAAGAGCCCCAAACCAAGGCAAGCGCACGGAAAGCCCCCCCCATAGAAAGAACGCACCGATCAACTGCGCACTGCCCACCACATACGGCAGCATGACATAATCATCCAGGCCCCACGCGCCACGCGAGCCCGCCGGCTCCAGCCCATACCGGCGGATGATCAGTCGCACGGTGCGACTGTAGGCCGGCAGAACGCCGAGAGCCAGGGCGCGCCAATCGCGCAGGCCGCCAGCCACCGGCCCCGGCAGGGCGGGCGGCTGGCCGGCCATCTCCAGCCATGCCTCTGGCACTTGGAAGCCAAAGTCCAGGAAGGCCAGATCGTAGACGCTAATCTGAGCATTGCCCGGCAGGGGCATGGAGATGTCACCGACGCGCGGGCCCACTGCCTCGAGCACCGCCTCGGCCACCTGGGGCCCGGTGGAACCGGCAGCCTGCGCGGTAGCCGCCACACTGGCCGATGCGGACTCCGAGGCCGAGGTTGACGGCCGAGCTGGCTGGCCAACCAGACGCAGACGCGCCAGTCCGGCCACCAACAGCAGGAAGGCCGTCTCGTGGCCGGTGCCGAAGTCCAGCCGCACCGGGTTCCCGAGGCACGCCTTAAACAGGGCACACAGCTGCTCGGTGGCCGCGGCAATATGTGACGAGTCGGCGGTCGAATAGACCGCAGCCAGCAGCGGGGTAAAGACATCCGAGAAGGTCTGGCCGGCAGGAGGTGATGGATGGACAAAGACAGGAGGAAAAGGAGGAGGCATGGGTCAGGAACATGGAGCAGCAAGACAAGCCACGGCCACGGCCACGGCCACGGCCAGGGTCACTTGCACGGAGACTCCCGGCTTTGGGCCAGAGGGAGGAAGGAGACAACGAACCTGTGATGCCTTCGAGTGGAAGGTCCGGAAGGCCACATCGCCGAAGCGCCGACCGGCGCCAGTCGGCTCCTTCACTGGGGCCACCTCGTCCAGCAGGGCCGGGAGCTGGACCTGGAAGAGGTCCCGAAGGGCAAGAATCGCGGGGCTAACCCCGGTCCCGGTGGCCAGGGCGGATTCCAGCGACTTGGCAGCCGTCTCGGTCCAGGCCCCGGCCGCGGCAGCCGACAGGGCCGCACAGCACTCAATGCAAGTGGCGAAGGCCGCCGAGCTGACCCATCGGCTCAAACCGCTGTCATAGTGACGGTGGTGGATGGCGCCGGCCTCGCTGGCGCGAGGATGAGCCACGGGCCCGGCGGCGCCAGCCGATCCGAGAGCCTCGGTTGCCGGCGCGCCAGCCGCCGGCATCCGCCCGACGTCCGCCAGACGCGTCGGGTCTGCCGGATTGTGCGACGCAGGATGCGACAGGGAGCTCGGGAGCGGGACCTCGCGCAGGGTGGCGCCATCCTCGAGAACAATGTTCTGAGGCACTGGCAGGTAGTTCAGGTCAAGGATCTTCATAGTGGAGGGAGCAGAAGGGAGGTCTTAGCATGCCAGGACGAGGAGGAGGCGGAGGCGAGAGAGCAAGAGAGAGGGAGTGAGAGAGAGAGAGAGGGAGGGAGGGAGAGAGAGAGAGGGAGGGAGAGAAAGAGAGAGAGAGAGAGAGAGAAAGAGGGAGGGAGAGAGAGAGAGAGGGAGAGAGAGAGAGAGAGAAAGAGGGAGAGAGAGAGAGAGAAAGAGGGGGAGGGAGAGAGAGAGAAAGAGAGACAGAGAGAAAGGGGGGGGGACGGGCGGTTGGGGAAGATGGACACACCGAAAGGTCCTCGAGGGGCTGGTACAGCTCGCCAGCTCCGACACTCGGGTCGAAGTCGCTGGCCTTCTGAAGCAGTGTGGCCATAGTAGGGGGGAGGGAGGGGGGGAAGGGCAAAAGGAGGACAGGGGGGGGGGGGTAAGGCCAAAAGGGGGTGGAACCTTCAAGATGGCTTTCGATCGGGTCCGGAATGGGCCCGGAGTGCCGCCCCTTGTGCGGACCCAGGCAGGACGGCCCTGCAGGCAGTTGTGATAGTGGCGACGTCGGGGGGAAGGCCGCTGGCCAAAAAGGTCAACACTGCTGAGTTGGGAGCTCCCCGACGCCCGGGCCCCTCTTTGCACCCATCCCCGTGGGGGCAAAAACACATGCGCGAGGGCATTCGCGCGCTAGACGCAGGGAGAACAGAAAAAGCACACACACCATTCGACCGACCAGCAGACCGGCAGACCGACCGACAGACAGACAGGCAGAGAGACAAAGATTGCCACCTGCGGGAGGATGGGAAAACGTGGTTGTATTTTTGGAGAGATCCCCGCCCAGCAGGGGACCGCCGGCCAGGGCACGGCAGGAACATGCCCTGCGTGCTTCTCTCAGCGGGAGCGGCGACGCGAGCGCGAGCGCGAGCGCGAGCGTGAACGACGACGGCGCGAGGAAGAGGAAGAGGACTTCTCGCTTCGGCGGCTACGGCGATCATCCTCGTCCGAGGAGGAGGCCGAGTCATACGAGTCTGAGGCCGAGTCGTATGAATCATATGAGTCGGAGGAGTCAGACTCGCTATCGTAGCGCCGACGTCCACGGCCCGTGCGCGACGACCGTGAGGAGCGAGACGACCGTGAGGAGCGGGAAGATCGCGACGACCTTGAGGACCGCGACGACCGCGATGACCGGGCAGGCGAACGGCTGGCCCGGCGCGACCGCCGTGGAGAGACATCCGACCGTGATGAGCGCGAAGAGCGCGACCCCCGGTCATCGCTGACATTGCCCTTGCCATCGCCGGTCGTGCGTGATGGCCGCACCGGGGGACCCGTCGGCACGGGGGCTGGGGGATCCAAAACCGGCGCCGGGGCTCCAAACGTCCGGCCCGCCAGCTTGATGTGGTTACGGCACTCATGAGGCAGGTGGCCAGCTGCATGAAGGGCAAGTGTCGGCCCGGGGACAGAGCGAGGGAGAGTGTCAGACCATTCGGACGGTGTCTCAGACGCGCCGGGTGGGGGGGGTGAAGTAGGCTAGAACGCACGCTTATTGCAGTGACGACAGGCTCCCGGGAGCTGCTGATCGGTACGGGAAAGGCGCGAGGCCGAGGTACTGGCTTAGTGGGCCAATTCACCGGCAGAGAAGGGTTAGATGTGGGAGGATAGGAGGAGAATAAAGAAGCAGCCGGGCAGCCGGACAGGCAAGTGGCCTGACGCACCCTGGTGCGATTCCATGGCCGCGGAGAAAAGAAGGCGCAAGGAAAAGTGCGCGAGGAGGGGAGGAGGAGAGCCGAGGGAGATCTGCACACCTCGGCCGGCGGCCTCGCCCCCGACGACCAACTGCCTTTTGAGAGGGAAGAAAGTCCAAAATTGTGCTCCTCCAGAACACCCCTCGGGCATGTGATCTGCCTTCGCGCATCCAGTCGTCTTCACTTGAAAATCAGCAGTCCCGTAGCTCCCTCCAGGAGCGGGAAAAGGGCGGTAAATCCCTGAGCATGGGAGAAAGAGCAAGAGAGCCAGCCGGCTGGGTCGCAGGAGCTGGGCACCCCCGCCCGCTCCCCGCCCCCCCCCCCCCAGGGGGCCGGC